TCGTTAGATCTAAGGGTGTGTTTGGTTCGGGGTAGATGGAGGGGAGGAGAGGGAAATTTTTTTAATTAAATATGTTTGGTTCAAATCTTAGGAGGGGAGGGGAGGGGAGCAAAATCCCTACAAAACACACTTTTTTGTTCCCTCCGAATTGGGGGAATTTGGAGGGGAGGGAAGGGAATATGAGTTTTGATATTTAAAAATTATTATATTTACTAAAATATCCTCAATTTAATTTCAGTATTTCAAAACTATTCGTTTTCTTTCGTGTTATTATTTTTTCTCGATTGTTTCCATCAACTTATTATAATTGTTTTCCACCTTCAAATTATTTTATAATTTTTATACTTAATATAAATCATAATCATTGTCTTTTTTTTATTAAAAAAATTATGTTTAGTTATATTCGTTTTTTTCTTTTAATTTTGTTATGTATTCTATCATATTTTCTTTTATATCAAATTGTAAACCATTCATTTTATTTATTTTTGTTTATTCATTTTATTAAATATTTTGAACCAATTAATATTTAATAATAAGTTATTTTATATATTTGTTTTGTTATATAATTCATAACAATTTAAACGATGTTATTGACATATAGTTTAATTTATGTTGGAAAGTTATAAGTCGAATCAATTGTACTCAATTTTTTAATTTTATGTGACAAATAAATACTTTTTTAATCACTCAATATTAGAAATTTTATTACCAACAAAAATATGCATGAATTTTTCACTTTTTAATATAATATGACTTATATAAGATCATAAGGATAAAAATATAAATTGTTAAATAAAACTCCTCCCCTTCCCTTCTGAACCAAACATATTTTTAATTAAAATTCCTTCCTTCCCCTCCCCTCCTCTCTTTTGAATCAAACACTTATCTAATTAAAAAATCAGATACCTCTCCTCTCCTCCCCTCCCCTCCCCCTCATTTGAACCAAACAGATCCTAAGTGTTCTACTCATTTAATCATTTAGATGAACTGTACTTATATACAATGATATGCATAAAATTGTTATCATTACTTGGGTAACAAGTAATTTATAACTATACAACTCACCAACAACCAAACATAACAACACTACATTACATACTTCAGGAAAAAAAAAATCCTTCATGAAGTTGTGTGCACTGCCATTAATTCATAATATTTATGGATTGTATGTGAAGTTCTCACATTAATTAAAAACACAAGCTTCTAATTGATGCTTCAAGCTTTAGATTAAGAGAACTTTTTTTTTAGTTGAGTATTGGTGATGATCTAATTGGAGAACACAATAACGCGGATACCACACTTGATATCACACCTATTTTGGTTATTCCAAGTTGTCGCAATCTGTTTACATCTACTGTTGAGATCACATATTTAACTCTTTTAAATATTTTAAATAACATTAATGATATATATAATTCTTTTTTACGAAAATAAGTTTATATTTGCTGCAAAGAATTTTGTTTTGAAATGGTTAATTATTATAGAGTTATATATATACGTGATCATTTTAAATATCTTAAATATTGTTTTTAATTCTTTAAAATATTTTAAAAGAAAATTTTTTAAAAAAATTTATTCACATTTTTTATTTATAATATTAAAATCGTCGTTAAAAATTTCGTTAATTTAATTGCAAATTAAAAATTCATTACTAAAATCATCGTTAATTTGTAAAAAAGTCACTAAGTTATAAGAGAGATAAAAAAAATATAGATAAATTTTTTTAGGAAAAGTGTGGACAAAAAAAGTCAATTAAACAGAGTTACTCCATCGAGACTTATAAACTACAAGTTTAAATTTGAAGTAGGAGTGTCAGTGATGTTATTAAGAAATTTGAAGTAGGAGTGTCAGTGATGTTATTAAGAAATTTGAAGTAGGAGTGTCAGTGATGTTATTAAGAAATGTATATCATACCTCAAAATTGTGCAACATAAATCAATTAATAATTATAAAGGAGAGAAATTATGTTGTCAAAGAAAATGTAATTCCAAATAGTAATACCAGTGATAAAAGTTATATATTAGATTATCTTTAACATTATATGATGTAAGAATTCTTTTTTTAAAGTTCAATAGTGGCAACTTTTATAGTTGTTTTGTTTGTAATGACTTTTAATAAAAGTCAAAGATAATTACTTAAAACATATTTTTTTTAAGGCAATTGAATTAAGAAAAAAGCTTCTCTGGCCGAGTATCCTGATGCCTCTTCACCCAACCAGCAAATTCTATCCTCTAGAACACGATGAGGTTTGTAACCCTATAAGAACAGATGTAACAGAGAAATAGTAATGCTAAAGTCCTGCTGACCCTGAACAGGCAAACCAAGATCATTCCAAATCCATTGATCTTCAACCCACATACCCATATCCTTAACCATAGAATTCTTTCTTTTGCTCAGATGATACAAATCCTGGAACAATTCTGCAAGAGGTTCCTGTCCTGTCCAATTAGTCAACCAGAAAGGAACATTTACGCTGTTACCAAGAACAAAATCCAAAGATTTAGAGAAATTGAAAACTCCAATCTTTGAAAAGGATCCAGTTTTCAATAAGTCTTTCCACCAAATTGACGAAGAATATCAAAAATTGTGATTATCCATCAAAACCAAGTGTTCCACATTACCGTAACGTGCCTTGAGAACCTTCTTCCACAAAGCCATTTTTTCACTCAATACTCTCCATTTCCATTTCGATAACAACGCCAAATTGAACTCTTTGATGCTTTTGATACCCAGTCCTCCATTTTCTTTGTCCCTACAAACCATCTCCCACTTAGTCCAATGAATCTTAGAGTTACTCCCTTTACTACCCCAAAGGAAACTTCTTCGGATACTGTCAATTTTGTTCCAAACAGCCACAGGTGCTTTGTAGAAGGAAAATAAGAAGACGAGCAATGCAATAAGAATATAGTTAATTAAAGTGATTCTACCTGCCATACTCATCATTCGAACTTTCCAATTAGCAAGCTTATAATCAAACTTTTGAATAATCGGCTTCCAAGTACTAATTTTCCTAGGACTACAACCAATCGGAATGCCCAGAAACTTGAATGTTGAAGATTCAATTTTACAAGATAGGAAATAGCAGCAGCCACTAAAAAAATGAGGACTGACATTCACTCCTATAAGTATGCTTTTGTGAAAGTTAACTCAAGGCCCGACAAAAGCTCGAATCCCCTCAGAATAGCCTTTAAACTCCATATATTCTTCCGTCCACCCTCTCCCACCATTAGAGTATCATCCGCAAACTGAATAAGTCCACCTTAACCTCGTTGTTCACTTTGAAGCCTCTAAATTCTCCAATAAGAGATGCCTTTTCAACCAATCTTGTTAATCCCTCCGCCACAATCACAGAGATAAAGGATCTCCTTGCATCAAACCCCTCTTTTTCTCAAAATCCTTCATAGGACTACTGTTGACTAAGATCGATAAATAACCAGAGAAAATACAAGCGTTCATCCACTTCATCCAAATCTTACCAAATCCCATCTTTATCATCATAAACCTAAGAAACTCCCAATTCACACAGTCATAAGCTTTTTCGAAATCAACCTTAAATAAAACACACTTCTTTTTCTCTCTAATAGCTTGATCTAACACTTCATTAGCTATCATTACCTCACCCACCAGATTTCTGCCCTTAATAAAAGCAGATTGATTATGAGATATTAAACCTCGTATCACCTTTTTGATCCTGCCTGTAAGGAGTTTAGCAAGGATTTTGTACTAACAGCCCACCAGACAAATAGACATGTAATCCCTAAGGTCAATTGGATTAGCTACCTTAGAAATAAGAGTCATGAAAGAGGAACTTATAGCTTTCGGCAGGAAAGAATGCGTATGAAAATCCTTCACAAAGGTTACAATATCATACTTCATAAAATACTAGCACTTCTTAATAAAAGTGAAATTATAACCGTCCGATTCAGGACTCTTGGTTCCCTCACAACTCCAAACAGCTGCCCTGACTTCTTCTGAAAATTGAGTTTCCAAAAAGTCTGCATCATCCTTAGATAATTTGTTAAGAGAAATCCCTTCAAAAATAGGTCTATCATTTGAAGTTTCTGCATATTTCTAAATGAAAAACTCCCTAACAGCATGTTTCACATCAGCAACCGAATCAACGACACCTGCTACAGAATTAACAGAACCTATAAAGTTACTTTTGGCTCTTCCTTTAACCAAGTTATTAAAGTATTTCGAATTGATATCCCCATCCCTACTCCACTTAATCCTAGACTTTTGAATAATCATATTATCTTTGATGTGAAGCTTATGCCAAAGCTCCCTACAAGCCTCTGTTCTCTTCTTCACAAGATCTGTTATCTCTCCATTGGAAACAGAAAGAAGAGCTTGGTCAACCTCATTAATGATATCCACTTCCTCCTCCACCTTGAGATCATACCACCCAAAGACTTCCTTGTTCCATCTTTTTAAATCACATCTAAGCAGCTTCATTTTCTCTTTAAGAACAAAGCCACTCCTCCCTATCACATTATAACTCAACTATTTATCCTCGACAAATTTGAGAAACTTGGGATGCTCACCAGCAATCATTGGTTTTAAAAGGTTTTGGCCCCCAATCTCTAACAAGGATCTTCGTCCAAATCGGACAATGATCCGAGATATCCTGCTTCCATGTAATTTGACCTATCATTCCCCACCTATCTAAAAAAGAAGAGTCGACTAAAAATTTGTCTAATCTACTCATTGTTTTGCCATCTCCACTGAACCACATAAACCGATTTCTCATGAATGGAAGATCGACTAAGCCCAAAGAATCAATAAAATTTGAGAATTCTCCTATCTCCAAGGATTTGTTCAAATAACTGAGTCCCTTTCTTTCGGATACATCAGATGTTGCGTTGAAATATCCGCCTATTATCCAGATACCGTCTAACCATCTCGTTTGAATTGATCCAACTCCGCCCACAACTTTCTCTTGGATGACAATGAACAGCCAGAGTACACATTCACCATATAATAATTATCTTCCTTCCACTTCAATTTAACCCCAGAAAACCTCCCCCTTTGAAAGAGAACACAGGACTGAAAATAGATTCATTCCATAAAGTAATAATACCACCAGAAAAACCAATAGAACTACAATAGGACCATCCCACCTCTTTCTTTCTCCCCAATTCCTTAACAAGATTAGCTTCCACTAATTTTAACTTAGATTCTTGAATAAAAAATAAATCAGCATTACCTGATTTAATAAGGCAATTGATCCTCTTCCTCTTGGACAAATTATCTCCCCCTCTTATGTTAAGAGATCTCACTATCATGGATTACAATTGTTGATCACCTTCTTTCCTTTGGATAAACCTTTATTTTTAGCTTCTAACTTGTCAATCATATAGGAGAAGTCCTTGCCTCTATCCTTAGCCGTGATTCCCAACTTAGCAATCTCTTTCCACACTTTATTCCCCACATTAATTTTCATATTTGCCTTAAATTTCGAGTTGCACATATGGACATCCGAGTCAGACAACGGGTCACAACACAAAATTGCACCTGCTGAGATAACATTTGTCTCCCTAGAATTAGTTTTGGGATTGGAATTAGAAGAAAAACAAGAATCCCTAGAATTCAAAGCTGTGAAAATTGTTCTATTAGATCATCAGATCCAACAGAAACAGAAAATAAAGCCCGACCCAAACTCCTTTTCTTAGGTTTAGATTTGGATTTTTTAGAACGCAGCAGCCCACTTAATTCCACCATCCTCCTAACTTTTGTCCTTTTCTTCTTATGACAAAAATTAGCTTTTAAATTAACCTCGTTTCTATTCTGCAGTAGAACAGCATCTCTCACCTTTTCAGAAGATAAAGGAACAACAGATATCCCATCATTCGCTACAACCTCTATCACCTTAGGTGTTGCGTCCTCCTTAGAAGCTATTATAGCCGCATCAAAACCTAGAAAAAACTGCTCAGAAGCTAAAGCATTTGTGATAACTTTTTCCTTCGATAACGTGTCAACTATCCAACCTTTCTCTGTATCCTTGCCCAACAAGTCCTATATCACTTAAACATGTTAGAATAGATCTTCCAACATCAGCTTTCTCAGACAATCAATTATAAATTACTTTTAAGATGATAATTGAGTTATTAATAACGCATGAAAATTGATAATATACTAATGTGAAATGTATATATGTGGAGAGGTCTTAGTCTCATAATTTAACAACAATGTTTTGTTATATAAAAAGTATACCAAAGCCGTAAGGTCAAAAGTCTAGTTATTCCTCTATAAGTGCGAATGCAAAAACAATATTTGTATTGTATCACAGTGGCTTTTACCTCCATTCCTAACAATAAATTTTCACTAGATGACTGAATTCAGAGACAGGATTAAGCTATTTTATTGACTAAACAAATACTAAATTAAGACATATGATAGCTTATTTTGCTGTCTATCATAGGATGGCCATCAAACAAACTTATCCTAAGATCTTCATCAAACATGGCAATAAAAACTCATATAGGTAGAAGTAAGGATTGAAGCAACAGAAGTTAAGAATTTTAAGTCACTTAAAATACAACCACAGTTTTGCTTTGAATTTACAGCATGTAAATAAGCTCTCTCCACAATTACGGCGAATTTCAAACAGTCTATGTTCTTAGAACATCATTTAACTCCAGACACCTAAGTGTTCCATGAGTTGTAATAATGGATAAAAAATGCTTTACTAATATGAACGGTTACGATAAATCATTCGAAGTTCCTTGCAGGGACTGCACGTCCAAGGCAGTAAAGGAGGGTCCATGCAATAGGAATGAATTCTTCGAATTCTACAAACATCACAATTCTGCAGTAGATCCTCGGGTTCTCGACCACAGCAAATTACACAAGCACCTGCACGGGAGGACTGTAAAAGCAAAAGGCAAATCACAAAATTACCCAAACCTTACTACAATATGCAAAAACTTGCAGCCAAAACATGGGCAATAATGAATTATTCTAACATATCAAAAGTCTCTTGTAGAATGAAATATAAGTTTTGAATATGTTCTGATCCATAAAATGAGCAAATTTTAGTTTTGATCCCTAAAATTCTTTCTTTGGTTTTCATCCTTCCAAACTATGAAACTATTGTTTTTAGTCTCTACTATCATGTGACATTCGATAACTAATTATGTAACTAACAAAAGGTCATGTGGTCAATCCAAGTGAACTGAATGATGCATATACTATATTAGCATGTAGAGAAGTACAGTGGATTTGATAGATTTAATGAAGAATTACGATTCACAGAACTAAAGTCTGTGCAAGTACTACTGTTTGATTTAAATTAGAATGAGGATATAAATAAAAAATAAAGATATGCTAACAATTAACGAGTTTAATATGGAAAGCATACCTCTAAGCTACTGTCTCGAAATTCTTGATCCATGGGGATAAAAATATCTGAGCTTGGGTAGTTACATGGAATTGTCTGGGAGTAAACTTTTTGATCAGTGGTAACTGCATGCTCAACTTTCATGATCCCTGTAATATTTGCTTTGCACAAAGGACAGGTTGAAATTTTTCTCATTGCAATCTATAAATATTGAAAAGCAATAGTGAGAATGAAAGAAACATTGAAAATGACATGTGTCGAATAAATCTATACAAGCTAATGCAAGGGAAAATTAAAATAAACAAAAATACTACAGCAACAACAAAATTCTTTTAGCCCTAGGTGGGGAAAAAACTAAAAATAAAGCTAAAATGTTCAAACATATTTTCACAGTTGAATGGTTTGAAATGAGAAGCCTATTGTCATCTTATAATCATTGGATCAATTTACCACTTTCAATTAATAGGTTTTATGTATAGTAATAGATAGATATTGGAAAAGGCTTACTCTGTGATCAACCCAACCCTGGATGCATGGAAAACAAAACCGATGTCCACAAGCTAAAATCCCCCTTGTTGAACTGAAATCTGTGAAACATATAACACATGACAAGTCATTTGAAGTAGGTAACTCGTCAAAATTGTCAACCACATCATCACTGGTGGATTTTTCTGCAGCACTGGAACATAAGTCTACTGAAGTTTGTGTCAAAGGAAGGGGATCTTCAATAAACAAAGTTGAATTTGTGGGAGTAGATAAATGATATGAATCTCTACTCTGTTCAATGCCATCTGAACTTCCACCAATAGTTCTACTTTGTCTAGATAGTCCAGTATCAAGTCCTTCACTATTTTCTTGAATATTTTCAATATTGACACAGCTAGAAATGGTAGAGGTAGCAGCAACTTCAGTGTGTAGCCTATCCATTTCGCTAAGTTGGCTGTCTGAGCTTAAATCCAAAATTATAGGGTCCAACGCCACTCTACCATCATTTTTCTCAACCCTTCTTCCTTTACGAGAATGTCTAGCTTCGATACTTACTTCATTTCCACTGTTTCTTTTACCTTTCTTTGACAGTCTAGATGAATATGAACTTGACTCCTCATGCTTGAAGAAGAAAGGAAAATAGAAATTAATAAGACTAACAGACAATCGAAAAAAACATAAATTCATTTGTTTGATTTGGTCCATCATACAGCATATTGCCCCAACAGGATCGTAAAGCCCCTCCTAGTGATAAGTTTTTTAAAAATACATTGTATGAGTTTAAAAATTATTTGTGAGGAATGTATGCATGGAAACAGCAAACAGGCATATGAGTTTAAGTTTGTGGGAGTGACATTGGCAGAAAAAATTAAACTAAATATTTGGTGACAAAAACATCAAAAGACTTGCAGATTATTCAACTTAAAAAACAAATCAAATCAATACAAGAAAACAGTCTCATCGCTTCGCCTCTGAACCATTCGTAGTTATTAATGATAAGCAATTTTCAGTGTATTAAGTAATACCATGATATGTATTAGAAACCTGAACTGACACCATAAGAAATACATTCAATCTAAATGGAACAACTATGGTACGTTGGTGCATAAATAACAAGTTGAGATAATGGTTAGCATCCACTGATAACATGAGTGTTAACACATCACACCCTGAAAGCTGCACCCTATTCAGAAAATGAGGCAACATACTACTTATGAACAAGAATTCAAAACATTCTTGGAATCACGAAAAATGAATATTACATATAACAATTGTAAGCAAGTTGGAGGAGAACACAGAGAGCAAAAATATTTACCTTTTTCAATAAAGGAGAATCTTCCAAAACAGAAATTCCACAGAGCCAAGAACCGAAGTCACTATTTTGCCTTTCAGACCCAATATCACATAAACTGGCACTAACCACTTTTTCCTTCGACAAGCTTTTTGCTTGAACAGTGACAGGAACTTCCATTAACAATGGCCCTACTTCATGTCCACTGAAAATAGTAATGATGATAATCATGAATGAACTTAAGAAAAGGTTTTCTCAAATTTTATTACATGGCAGTCAAAGGAAAGGGAAGCACCAGTAAGTAGTAACATGATCTTCAAACAAAATAATCGTCTTATTTGTCAATAAGATCAATGATGCCAAACCTCAAATTACAAAACAAACTTCAGCAAACTTAGGCTCCACACAAAGAAGCCCATCACATGACATAAAATAAACAGAACACGGGACAACAAAAACCGTTGAGGATTAACTTGTGGGCTTTTAGCATTAACAACACTCAACAAGTAGCTTTTCTTGAAGTTTTAGCTACTAGATTCAGGCCCATAAATGATTTTTTTACTTGTTTGTAACAGTAAATTTCAGACTCGATATAAATTAAAATCTGTCACACCAAATTGATCAGTTTATGCATTTTCAACAGTCATTTTAATTCACACACAAGAAAAATAAAAAGAATTTCCCCAAAAGTGCTCTCTTTTCTATCAAGGCCATGATAATTATATAAAATTCAATGCTATAATTCTGCAGTAAATGGGCAGAAAAAGAAAAAGAAAAGAAAATAGAAAACATATTCACCTTTGCATGATGTAAGAATCTTCCGGGACACGCCTTCCTTCCTTTATGCAGTCTTCAACCCAACGGTGGTTGACTATAGGTATTCTAAATTTTCGAGCAATATCATATTTCTTTCCTTCAAACTTCCAACACACCTGAGCATTGTTGTGTATATAATTATGTCAAATCTGTAGTTTGCTAATTAGATAACTAGATACTGCTCATTGAAAATTAAAAACATTTGTTTGCTAAGTAGATATCACATTTGTTTTGTTATGAAATTTATATAAGTATCTAAACATTAGGAAAACCATAAGTTAAAAGTTATCTATATAGAGGAAAGAACCAAGCCACTTAATACTCTGCAGAGCTTCTCAAACTACTAATGTGGA